ATATTTTATAGTTCTTTGTGTAATGTCTTGAAATATAGTTTTATAATTCTGGTACTTAGAAAATTAAGGGTATTATTTGCAAAATTTTATTTTATTTTATATTTTGTATTATGATTCTTGTATGATATGATGATGGGAGAAAAAGCTCTTAATCGCTAGGCTAAGCCAAGTTACATCTTAAACATATTTTCTCTCTCAAAATAAAAAAACCATTAAATCTTCACTAATCAATCATTAGTACTATCTCATTACCATTAATCCTAATAAAACCTCACACTCATGAATATTTAAATCTCATACACTGCCATTCTAATTAACAAAAATACCCTCATCATCACAACCCTAATCAAAACAAGAACAAATGCTATCCCAACTAATTGTGTTCCTATATGCATAAAGCCAACCCTAACACCCCCATTCTTCACCATATAAATCAACTCAATATATTTCAAGTCAATCCCACAGAGGTGCCATGTCAAATTAAGGTTGATGAGCAAAGTCCTGCATGGGGTCCTAGTTGGGTACCCATTGGATACCCCGCTTTGTGCGGGCAAGCTTCACCCACCCACGCCTACACATGGTAACTTTCGGGATTTCGTACCCACCCATACCCACTAACTTTCCACACTTCTTGAATGCAATCCACTACAAACTGATGGCCTTGAGTCATGTTGCACTTTACTCTGACTACAAATTTTTAAGCCGCAATTCAAAATTTATCATGATTGCAATGTAATTCAATGCTACGCACTGTCAAATGAGGATTACGGTAATATACGACATGTGATTAGCAATATAAATCTATTTATCCCCCGATGTTGGATACCCACCCACCCATCCATGAAGTCATATGCGCGCCCATACCCGGTGGGTGTGAGTATGAGTACCAAATGCAAGGCTCTGTTGATGAGGAATCCCATTAAAAGCTCATGCACTTATACCTATGATGATGTGCATGTGAAAAATGTTGAGCGTGTCATCCACTTTCTCAGGCTTCGTTTGAGATGACTTTATTGCTGCTTCTTAAAGTAACCAAACGACACTTGGAACCTTTTTTGGTTCTTCAATGAATTAACAGTGTAAAATTATTTCATTTGTACATATTCAGCGGTTAAAAACAGAATGGCAAGAAATAAGAACAGATTGGAGGAAACACTGTAAATCAACAAAAGAGATTTACTTAGAAGAAAAAAACAAAAGAGTTTACATTAAAATACAACAAAAATTTATGAATTCTAGCCTATGACATTAAACTGTTATATCCACCTTATTGACATAATGAAAGAAAAACAAGTAGTTTGCAAGAATTACGATTGATCGATACCAAACAAGAAATGAATTTGTTTGAGAGAAGGCTGATGGTTTCATTGAGACTCGTAGATTGGTGATTACGGACAAGTAAGGCCCACTAACTAGTCAATAGAAACATGATGCAAGGGTAGGGGTGTCAAAAATTGACATGACCTGAAAATTCGATTCGAATCCGACCCAAATTTTTCGGGTTAGGGTAAACCCGAATTCGAAATGGGTTGGTTTTGGGTCCGGATTTTTGACCCGTTTCGAATTTCGGGTCAAGTTTAGGGTTGACTAAAAAACCAGAGAATGACTAGATTTTGACCCGAAATCATGTAGTTCGGGCTTATTTATGAGGTTTGGCAGCAGAAACACATGAAACGGAGAAAGACATTCATAGCGAGTGAACTCCCATCGTTGGTTCTGATCAAAATGTTGTAACTTCCGATACGACCGGAATGGAATGTTGTCCAAGGAGCAGCGAAGTCGAACAACAACGAAGGGCGAGTCCTGCAATCTCTACAGATTAGCAACGAAGAAAAAAAGAAGATAAAAAAGCAAACCATAGACGCCTCTAAGCGCACGAAACAGAGAAAGTTACCTTGACAACGAGCAACCTCCCGTCGTTGCTTCCGATCAAAATGTTGTAACTTCCGATCCGACCGGAAGGGAACATCATCCAAGAAGCGAAGTCGAACAACAACAAAACTGGCGACTCACGAACCCGATTAGCACTTGGTGGCTCAGGTTCAGGTTCGAAAATAGGGTTGGGTTCAAGACGGGACGAATAGTGCCAAGTCAATTTACCCGAATCCGACCCGTGACCCGAATCCGACAGCCCTATGCCCCTACCTGATGCTAGTCCTCTTTCTGAATGAGCTGAAAATAATTAGGATGTTGTTTCCTGGAAATAATATATAGCAACAAGCATAAAAGGGAGGCTAGCTCCAACAGTCATAACACCAACCGAAAAAGCAATCATGATGAAATGCACACAATTGAACGAAAATCGATCAACTAGCCAGTCAATGCGTGGACTAGAGCTGACCAGGCTAAAGTGGGTTGACTTGATAAACTTAGGCTTCATTTCGGACGACTTTCCTACTACTGCTGAATACAGTTTTTTAGTAAAAAAATAAAAATTTTATAATAAAAGAATGCTTTAAGAAATAGTAAGAAAGTCATCCCAAGCAAAGCCTTATTTTTCTTTTGGGACAGCTTTCTTACGCTTAAGCAGCTTTCTCATACAAAAATTTAAGAAGCAACTTTCTTATAAAAAATTAAAAGTTTTTAATAAAAAACTGCTTAAAGAAACAGTAAGAAGGTCGTCCCAAACGGAGCCTAAATAACAAAAGCAGAGATGAATGAACGCACAAACCTGCAGGTCTCCCCATTCCATCAGACATATATGCTAAAATCCCCTTGCCGATTTTCATTTTGCAAATTTTACATCCAGTAAGAACTTATGTGGGAGAATCACCTGGCCAAGGATTTTGATTGAAGAAGCTGGACAAACATCCTTCGTAATCAGATGCATTTAAATAAAGAAACTCCACCGAGATTCTACCGGTGCATAAAGCAAAGCTGATAAGCAAGAAGACAGACCTGCATGTTGAAGAGTCCGGCGAAAATAAAATTGTCAAAAGTGAAAACAAAGGGGTTAGCAGAACGACCAAAATGTGTCTAACAAATAGAAGAAGAGGCAAGCTTATTCTTTCAGCATAAAACAGTTATTTCCATGGAAAAACTCACCTTGTAAGTCGATCCCTTCATCATGAAATACCATGGGCATGTGCATGAGACCAATTTGATGGCCTGTTTGAGGCTTCGTTTGGGACGGCTTCCTTCCTGCTTCTTAAAGCGGCTTTCTAATACAAAAATTAAAGTTTTTTTTAAAGCTTCTTCGAAGGTGTTGAAAAAATTCCAAAGGTGGTGCTAACGTCAATCAATTGGAGATTCCTTATGGGTTGAGAGATTTTAATTTTGTTATTTTTAATTGGGTGGATAGAGATTGTAATAAGTTAGCCGATCTTTGTGCTAACATTGCTATTACTATGATTTTTCATTTTAAAATCTGAATTTTAAAATGTTGTCATATTGTTACTGCAGTTAAGATTTTTTTTTCTTTTTATTAAGTTGATGTATTCCTATGAGCTATCATTATTTAAATATAAAATCATTTAAATAAATGTCATTTGAATTAAACATCTTATATCCTAAATTGTGTTGTCAAACGATCCCACAGGATTAGTCAAAAATTAAAATACTTATTGTCGAACAGTTTAGGATTTAACATCCTCAGGATTTAGTAAATATGAATTAAGAGGATTTAGTAAATCCTACTTAGGCCTCGTTTGGTTCCCGCCGTCTGTTTTTTCCTTCTTAAAGGGAGGTTCTAAGAACGGGTAAGCAGAAACATTTTCCTTCTCAGATCAGCAGATATACGGAGTTTTAGGAAAATGATTTTAACAAAAGTTGTCTAAACAAACATAAAACAACAACCATTTTTTCCGATTATAACCGGAAAAAGTGTAATTACGCGCAACCAAACTAAGCCTTAAGTTAAATCCTAGCTGCATCCAAACAGCCCCTTAGAATTGTGATGGCAAACGATTTTCAGGTTTTGATCCTCTCAGTGTTTACTAAATCTGTAATTACAATATTTACTAAACCCCAATTCGAGCAAAAAGGCCCTCAAAGACATATATCAAACAGCAGCCCTAATAGAAATAATATCTTCAAAATTCATAACAGTAATAAGAGTTTTACAACCAGAGATTGAAACATGTCAAGAAAACAGAAGCAACAAAGTAAAATATTAAACTAAAGGCTAATCAGAACCTCAAGTATATCATCAACACAGGTAAAAAGCAAGACACATACAGGAAATGACTAGTATAAGTTAACAAAACCAAACCCTCATCCCGCGCTCCCAAATTTACTCTGATCTGAGCCTTAATCCTGCCTCTTGAGCTTCTCGATGCGCTCGCTGAGCTGGTCGATATGAACAACGAGCCTGGTCACGGCCAACAGGAGCCAGTTGAGGAGCAAAGCGCAGGCAATGAGAATCCCATTGCGCTGGCTCTTCATTATCGACTTCTGGTGCCGGAGGTACTCCGTCGGCGTGCATTCGTGCTCGTTATCGCATGTCGGACGCGTCTCGTACTTCCAGTATATGTCCAGCAACAAAAAGAGACAGAACGGAACCACTGTGATCATCGGCTTCAGCGCGCTCCGCGTCACAGCGACAAGCCCCGGCCGGAGTCGGCTGAGTCCTGGAAGCGTGAGGAGGAGAAGCATGACCGCCTCTGCGCCGGCGGCACAGCCTAGGACGACCCATTCAAGCGCCATTAACAGTAGATCGCACCTCAATTGCCTGGATAGCTTTCTTCGGTGAAAACCCTAACCCTCGTTCCTTGTTATGTATCGAAGGATTACAGAGCTTCGGTGCTTTCGTGTGCGGGAGGGCGAAAGGCGAAATGACGCGTGCCACATTGTATTCAACGTGGCGGCTCTTTGAAAATCCAGAGGTTGATTAGGATTTATAGTAAGAGCCCCTTTGATTACATTAATTAAAAATATTTTATATTTTAATACATATTGGCTAGGGCTAGTAATTACTTTTTTATAAATTAAATTAAATTATAATAATCTAATTAAATAATAATTATTATTTTTATAAAAAAAATTCAATTTATTGTCAAATGAATGTAATATAGAAATAAATAATTATTTTATATGTATTCATCTCAAAATAAATTGAAAAATTTTTAAGACTTAACATAATTATAAATTGTATTGTATTAAGAGCTTGAGCACGGTCTTATAAAAAATTAAAAATAGGCAAAATTGCTCATTAATTGGGCGACTTATTTATCAGGCTAAGTTGAGTCATATAATCATTGTGCTGAGCAAACAAATAATAAGAAAAAGGTAATTAACTATAAGTTGCCCGTTAAACGGATGACAGTTAAATGGTTGACTTACTTATAAGTCACTCATTAAAGGGATGACTTACCCCTGTTAATTAAAAAAGAAAAAGCAAAATATTGTGAGTAATGTTTGAAAGTTTAATTTATTTTAAAAAAAAGCCTACAAGTGGTGCAACAAAATGATGAGTCAGACAAATTTTATGTGATCAATTTTTCTAGTTTGTATAATAAAATTTTTAAATTAGATTGTACTATTCAATTATTTTTTTCTAAATTGTGTTGTCAAATCAAATCTACAAAATTATTTTGTCAAATCACTTATATTTAAATATCATTATGTGTTGTCAAATCACTTTATACTGACAGCTCAGTGTGTTTTGTCATATCAGCTAGTCCCCCCATATTTGCATGAGGGTATAAACATGCATTGTAGTGGCATACCCAATGTTAAATTAAATTGCATATTCTTATTGAATAGATCATCGTGTATTCTTCGGTTATTGTTTTGATTCGGATCACTCAAACGAAGTAGATGATTCAAGAGGGTTGCATTTATTTGAAAGAACGTTTGGAGCTACCAACTGATGAAATTCTTGAAAAAATGGCAAAAGTAAATGAATATTTTGTATGTTGTATGCATTTTTGGTGCGAAGATGAAGATTACGCATTGTGGCATGTCCGTGAAGAATTTATGAAAGTTAAGCTGTACAGGGTCGGCAATGATCTTAGAGATGTGGCTGGAGATATGTACAACATAGATCCGAGGATGACACTTAGCATTGGGTACCATTGTAGCTGCTCAAGTGATAGATTCATGAGTTCGGACACAACAATGAAGGTTGTGTAGAGGAGATTATTGAAAGATTTAAAAAAAGCATTTTTCTCAAAAAATTTTAAATACAAACATGTTTCCATAAATACCACACAATATCTATCAAAAAAATTCAACAACTCACAATACATGTAAACCTACACTTCTCTCTTAAACTTTAACTGGTCTAAGTAAAAAAATAAAAAAAATATTATACATAAATCATTTAACTTAAACTACACTAAAGATTGAAAGATCCCTTACCTCAAGACTCCAAACAGCGGCGAGAACCAGAGATCAATGGCACAGCTTGCGGGAGGGAAATTTTTTTGGATCAATGAGAGAGATGTCGCGAAAGGGAAAGGGAATTCTTATCAAGGTCAAAGTTGCTCGTTTGATAGGTGACTTATGCTAATCCTCATTTTCATCTTTTTTTTTTTGTGTACAGATGACGGCTTGCTAACTCGTGTATGACGGTCATCCATTTGTGATAACGGTCGACTTTGCCTAGTACAAAAAAAATCCTTATGACTGTTGTCAAACTAGGGTCCTTCCAATCACTATTGGTTATACTATGATCTTTCATATCACTATTACTTGACTACGGTCCTCAAATAGTAGTCCTCCAACCTTTGTCGCTCAACCATATTTGCTTGATAATAATCCTATGATTATCGTTGCTTGATCACCCTCATTCTGACCAATGTTGCATGATTACAATCCTCAGACCTCCATTACCTGATCATGATCCTCCAACCTTCGTCGCCTGATCATGGTCCTTCCAACCACCATCAGACAAACACGATCTTTCGAACTACCGATGTCGGTGACCATCCTTCTGACCCTTATTGCCCAACCACGGTCCTCCAACCTTTGTTACCCAATCATAGTTCTTTCAACCATATCACTCAATTAGAATCCTTTAATATATGAGCCTTATTACAGTCTTTTCGACCATCGTCGCCTTGCTATGTTCCTTCGACCACTGTTTCCCGTACAGACCTTCGACCATTGTTGCCTCTATAATCCTCCAACCTTCATTGCCAAACTATGGTACTACTAATCACCATTGTCCGACTACGATCCTCTAGCTACTGTCTTTCGATCTTAATTGCCCGACTTGAGTCCTTTCGACCAATGTCACCCAACTACAACCACTGAATACTTTTGCCTGGCAACGATCATTTGAACTAACATCCTCTAACCAATGTCGCATACCTACAACGACTCCAACATGTTTCTTCACATATTGCCAACAACATCAACACATATACATTAACTTTGACTCCTGACATTAACACTAAAATTTATGCTAAACTTTTTAGTCCTTAATCCCCCACTTCAAAGAGAAGTGATCAAACAAATAGCTAATGAATCTTAAAGATAAGTTCTAAGCTAAAAAGCTCTTTCAACTTCCACCACATTATTCATTTTATATAGTTCATATCAATGCCATTTATAATTCATTATAAACATTTATAAAATCATTACAATTGAATCAAACCTATCATTTTTTTCCCTATTTCAGTTTTTTATATGGATCAACGGGACGGTAGAGGGCTACAAGTTGAAGGCGTAGTGCCTACGCTACGCGATGTAGAGTATGATATGAATTAAAAAATTAGCCAGTCTAGAGATGGGGGAAGTTGCCAACAATTTTTTTTGACCTAATTTGAAATGTTTTTAATGCGTTTAATTGAATATTTTTCTTTTGATCTAGAATTTTAATAAAATCAAAGTTCAACTCAATCTATTTGGCCTTGGCAAAGGGGATGATTTACGATCGCGATGAGATGTGTGATTGAATGAAAATTGTGATTGCGATGAAATGTGCATGATTAAATGAGATCGTGGTTACAATGAGAAATGCACGATCATATAGAGATCGATCTCACCGCAACACCGTAGGATCAGGCGAGATAAGGAAAATGGAGAGATACGTGTGATTAGATGGAGATCGTAATCGTAGCGAGACGTGCAAGATTGAACAAGATCATGATCGCAAGACCGGCGTGATTGTATAGAGATCATGATTACAGGGAGGTATACACAATTGTTTTTTATATTAAATAATTAAACATGTTATTAAAAAATATCAAATGTTTTGTTTTCTATAACTGTAAAAGATATTTTATATTGATATTTAAGCATCATTTATTGTATTAAGACCCAACTTTTTTTTTTTTACCAAATTTGAAATATTTTGAATGAGTTTAATTGAATATATTTATTATGATCTCCAAATTTAATAAACTCGTATTGTAATTATCTGGAAGGTTCTAAAATCATTAGCCTATATCAAATTGTATAGCCTTAAAATAGTAATCGTACCGGTTCAATTAACCAATTGAAGAGAATAGTCTGGAATCAAAACTAGACACGCATAATTGAATGGAGATTACAATAGCGGCGAAATGTACGTGATCAGACGGAGATCATGTTCGTGGCGTAATGCGGATGATCAGACAGAGATCGTGATCACGACCAGACACTATCTTTTTATCGGATCATGTTGGAGTTTTTTTAGCACCTTTTCTGTGGCCTTATCGGAACTTTTATTTGGTCCGGCACTAAGATTGCATGCACAAAATGAGAAAAAATGAGCAATACCAATAATAACGAGAAAATATCATTAGGTGAAGACGAAATACCGAGCGAGTTATACCGAGTTATACCAAAAAATACCGAGATTTTTTGGTATAACTCGGTATTGCTCGGTATAACTCGGTATTGATCTTCCCAGAGCGGTATTCCTCCATATTATCAAACAATACCTATCAATACCGATCAAATACCGAGCAAAATTTGAGTAACAAGCCTCTGACCGGACGTAGATCTACGTCCAGTCAGAGGACGTAATAATTGTTCGTTGGAGGGAGAGATTATTCTGTCCGGACCCTAGACGAGAGAACCGTCCGATACTGTTTGGTACCAAGAACATTACACTTTTGAGGTAACATGACACATTTTTACTAGTCTTTGGACGACGTCCGGACCCTGCACAAAATAATTTATCGGTTGGAGGAGTTTGTTGGATGATGGGATTGAAAATCCTTTTTGTTGGAGTCTTTTGGGTCTGACTCAGGTTATTCTTGGTGTTGATTTTGATTCTAAAAAGCTGGGTTGGAGGTAGGAGTGTCAATTCGGGTCAACGGGTCAAGTTCAGGTCAAATTCGGAACTGACCTGATCCTATTTGACACGACACAAACCGACCCGTTTTTGCAAACGGGTCAGAAACTGCAACCCGGACATGACCCGCCGGGTTGACACAACCTGACACAGAAACTATTGAGGCTGTGGGAATGCGCGACGAGCCGCACTGCCTCATGCGGTCCGACCGAGGAGATGAGATGCTGCCGCGTTGCCACTCGCGGGCGTGCCCGCGTGCCGCGTGGACCTGAAGGCGACCAGGCCGAGGAAATAGCGTGGCGTGACCGCGTCCATGTGAAGTGCGACTGCAGGCTTGTGGCACAGGCTTTCTGACCCGGGTTGACTTCGGGTTGATTTCGAGTTTCCGGGTCAACCCGAACCCGACCAATTTTTTCAAACGGGTAAAAAAATGAACCCGAACCCGACCCGTTTAACAAACAGGTTGACCCGAACCCGAATTTTTTCGAGCCGGATCCGAATAGGGTTTTGGGTCATGTCAATTTTTGACACCCCTAGTTGGAGGAAATCTTTTTTATTCAAAATCATTATTCTATGTTAAAATATATGTTAAAAAATAAAGAATTTTAGATAAGTTATATAATTTTTACGTTAAAAAAAAAATTTTAATTAAAAGAAATTTAACAATTATGTAATAATATCTGTATACAAATTACATCATAAGGACTTAAATATCATTTGATAAACTTTAAGACTAAGATTATATATGAATAATTTCTATTACACAAATCTTAAAGCTAATCCAATGATATTTAAACCCATCCCTGATATCTTGACACAATTTTTTCTACAGCCAATATATCATGATTTAATATTTTTCCCCAAATAGATATTTAAAAAGTTTTTATTTTTATTTTAATTTTTCACATTACATAATCATGCCTTCTTCTTTGAAGATGCCATCTCCTCCTCCATCTTGAAGAACAAGCTTCCATCATAAAGAGCTCTTATTGTTTCCTTAGGAAGCAAACCATTATCATCTTTACAGAGTGAATACAAGACCTTCCACTCAACCCAGGCACCAACCCTGAAACAAAAAAAAAAATCACTAAGCTGCAAGAGACTAAGGTTTTGTTTGAGACTGCTTTCTTATTGATTCTTAAAGTAACTTTTTAGTACAAAAATAAAAAATTTTATACTTAAAAGCTCTGAAAATTAAAAATTTTATACTAAAAAGCAGCTTTAAGAAGCTGTAAGAAAGTTGTCCCAAATGAAGCTACAGCCTTCTTACTGTTTTCTGAAGTAACTTTTTAGTACAAAATTTTCAAATTCAAAAAAATTTGTACTAAGAAAATACATAAAGCAATAAGAAAACTGTCACAAACCAAACCTAAGGGTTCATTTGTAATAGTTTTCTTAATGTTTTCTACAGCAGCTTTTTATTACATAAATTTCTTGAAAGCAACCAAACTGCCTAAGGCTTCGTATGGGACAACTTTTGGCAACTATTTTTTTACTGCTTTAAAGAAATTTTTGTACTAAAAAATTGTTGTATAAAAAGTAAGAAAACTATCCAAAATGAAGCCTAAAAATTTATTTATTTACAAAAAATATATATTTCTTAGATTCAGTTCATTTCAGAAATCTCACCATCCTTTGTAATCCTTAGGATCTCGATTAGCCCGAATCATCTCCAACAATTCAGCAGAAGTCAAAGCATTAGGGTTGGTATGAGCATGCTTCTGAAATATCTCCTCAAACTTTGCTGGTACAAACCTAATTTATCACAAATGATGTCAAACAATTTAAATCATAGAGAAAACTAATTTTTTTAATCATGTTTATGCTTAGGGTTAGCATGAAGAAAGTGCCAAAGTTCATTGGATTTTCTAGCACAAAAATTTTTTGAACTAAAATTTTTTTATAAAAAAACTGTTTTAAAAAACAGTGAAGAAGCCGTCTCAAACGAATCCTTAAGCAAATAAGTAGTTGCCTTAAGGTCTGCTGATTTACAATGAAACTCAAAGGAAGTGTAGCAAGTTTAACTAAAGCTTTTACTAGTGACTTTTCCCTTCATTTTAAGAAGATGCAGATTTGAATCAAGTAATAATTCCTACAAAGTTATAGTTATGAAATCATCATATAGTTCATCGAAGTTCAGAGCAACTTGCCCTTTGATTTACCTTCCTTGTGCATCATAGGCACCAGTATCACTCCCATGCTTGCCTCTGCTAATGTTCTTCACATAGATTGGAAAGAGAGGAGAAGGGATTTTTCCCTGCATGAAAAAAATGTATTAATATAATTACTATATTGCAATCAATATTCATCCACATCCCATTAGCTTTATCCAAATAATTTTGAGCCGGTATTATGAATACTTATTTTTAATTTAGTCATGATCATTTTTAACAAATCATTATGCATGAGTACTCATACAACATTAGGTCGTCCCTTCTTTCATAATCATTTGACATTAATTTTATCAACTTGTTTACTACATAAATAGTTTACCTTTCATTATGTGAAACCTCTTAAGTAAAATAAGCTAAACTTTTAAACATCATGACATCTTTTGATGTGATGGTTAAAATTTAATTAAAAAACTCTGCACTTAAGCGTGCTTATCCTAGAGAAAAATCTTAGGATTGTTGATTTCTTGGGAAGTTACACCAATAGGACAAACCCGTGAGGCCCATAGGTCAAAGAGGATAATATTTCGATTGTTAAGAGTTTGGGTTGTTAAAAATAGTATCAGAGTAATACAATAACCAAAAGATGGGAACTAAATGACATATAAGACAAAGTGCTACTCCATTGGAGCCACCTCTTAAACCCTATATGGGACAAAGTGCTATATAATGGGAATCACCACTTGAACTTGTAGGGGTCGCCTTTAGAATCATATATATCTGGTAGATGATTATGGGATAAAGATAATGACGATGACATCAGTTACTTAAATGGGGGAGATTGTGAAACCGTGTAAGTAAAAGATGTTATACTCTTAAACATCGAGGTGTTTTTTGGTATAATAGTTGAAATTTCATTAAAAAACTCTGTAGTTAAGTGTGCTCATCCCAGAGAAATTTTGGGATGGGTAACCTTATGAAAAGTTACACCAACATGACAAAACCGTGAGGCTCTTAGGCAAAAGTGGACAATATCTAGATCGTTAATAGTTTGAGCTATTATACATTATATATATGCTCAAATCATCTAGAGCTAATCTTATCATCAATATAAATTACTCTAATACTTCTTCTTATATAATCATTCATTAATTTATTCTTATTAATTTTATCACATAACTATTTAAACATTCTTATTTATGCAACACTCAATTTAATAAGAATTAAATTTTAACAGCCCAATGTTCAGAGCCATACAATATCATCAGCTTAATTATGATTTTAAAAATTTATATTTAAACCTTTATGATATTTTCTTATCACATAAAGCGCTTCGACCTTTCTCTATTTGTAATCATCAAACTTTACATGTATGAGTTATATCCTCATATATATCTCTATTTTTTGTTTATATGTTAGAGCTCCAAAATACTTAAATTTATAACACCTATGTATTATCTTATATTTACTTAAATGGTACTGGTTGCAACCGCCGGCAAGCGGGTGGTGGCCGGCGAGGTTGATTGCGATGAAAATGATTTTCACTCAAAATTATACGAGTTTACTATACCTAAAAAATTAACTATAATACATTGTATTATATTTAGAATACACCGTATTACTTTTTCATCCAACCAAACATTAATATTTTCAAAATCACTGCAAAAGGAATACTTTACATGCATTTTACTTTCATCTAAGTAGTCCCTAAATTGATAGAGAAAAGAAATGTTTAACTAGCCAATGGTGAGAAGGTCAGGCTTGGTACAATTTACCAAACTAACACAGCACTAAATCATTTAACAAAGTTGATATAAACACACATTTGAGTGCTCTTTGCAAGCCGCTCCTCTTCCTCCTTCCCCTCGTAGATTGAAATCTATCATGTCCATCAAACATTAAGCCTACTTGAATCCAATAATAACTATTGCGACTTTGTTTGAAGATGAAAACTCTTATCTGCCTAAGGTGAACACAACTATGACTCATCTTCTTTGCCATCTTACAGAGTGTAAGGCTCATCTGAAAAAAGCTTTTTCAATCAAGATTACAAGGGCTCTATCATCTCCTAAGTTTTGAGATGTCCATGTTATATTCATATCCCATTAACCGCATCACTAGATTTGAATCAATAATTTATCTAATTATTATTAGAAACACGCTAAAATATTTTATGATCTTTATTACGTTCAAGAAGGTACCACTTCAATGATTTATCACTCAATTTCCTAGTGTCCAAAAAAGTCCTTGAAGAACTCTTCACACTCTTGTACTTCAAGAAGTTCTAAAAGGATTTGCTATAGACATTTCATCACTCAATTCTGGTGAAATTTTTTGGATATACAATATTTGGACATATGGTTCTTCGAGTACAGAAAAGATGTTGGTAGCCACCATCACTCAAATAATGTTAACTCAGTGCCTTTACGAGGGAACTTTTTGCCATATATGCTCCTAGCTAATAAAAAAACAAATTAATTTGAAAAAGTTGACAAATAGCCACGTCAATGTGTTAAGAGTACAATCACGAGACTTCTATTTTAAAGCAATTTCATCTCATGTCCATGAAAGACTCTTGATGACATCCTCGTGATCATCAAAATTATTCAGGAGGTCACCATGATAGAGTCAAATGAGAATAGACAACACCTATGAGGGAATTAACTTGAGAAGCAAGATAAAGCATGAAACCCACCGTTGTTTAGCTTGGTTGGTGGGCGAGTACGGTTGGGAAAATCCCAACCCGTGCTCGAATCCCCTCGAGAGGCAACGCCTCTTAAGTGGGGCCCAATCAAGTGCGGGTCAGTAGATTTCTGCTTCTAGGTTAGCCGAGGATTAGCCACACCGCCAAACGCCCTTCCGAGGATAGCAGCGGATAGATAACCCATTCCAAAAAAAAAAAAAAGCATGAAAACATATAATTCTTTGAGCTTGGAGAAGTTGACTCGTCGCTAGTGGAGCTAGACATATCCTTAACCTTGAGTGTTACCAGCAATGATGGATACCATCTATGATAAGGAGCAATTTTTTTCATCCATTGATGATGTTCACAACATCGTCCAACTTGTCTAAATACTGAGTCTTCAAAACACAAAGGATAATCACCACCTCCAAAGCTTTCTTATAGAACTGATTTATTCAAAAAAGCTTAAGAAATCATCCTTCCTGAACCCGGACAACGTCTAGACAAGGCGTCAATTATTGAGAACTGTCACATAACAAATGATTCATCTAGCTGGAGTTGTTCCAATAATTCTCTGAGTTAGGCCTGGAGCCATGAGGTACTCTATGATAGACTTAAACAATGAATGTTTACACATTCATTACAACAGTAGAGAGAATGAAATGTAGAACGGTTCCATTTAATCAGTATATGTAAACAGTGAATACATGTGTACTTATATAACCAAGACATGACTAAAATTGGAAAGACAACTGTTATGCCGACGGTTCAATGCCAGCCCAAAGGCCGGCTCAAGTTTATAGGAGGCGGACAAGTTCCGCCTCCTCTATTGTGTCCACCCAAATCGATGGGTCCCACCCATCAATATGGATTTCAAAATTCAATAGAGGGGGACGGCTAGGGCTTTGGGAGGAAAAATTGATTAGGAAAGTTTTGTATTGAAGAGGATGAGGGGGATTGGGAGAGTTTTTCATGTTTTGTTTGATTGCAAATTAGGGTTTCTTGGCATTGTGCTCTAGACTCTCTTGTCAAGAGATTTGGGAGAGACGGTCCTCCTCTCGAATTGAGGATCAATTGTATCTTGTTTTGTGTTTGCTTGGCTTTGTTTCTCTTATTGCAATCAATCGTTTTGGGGCTGATTTCGCTCAGTTTTTGCATTATTCTCACTGATTTCACCAATTGGAGATAAGTTTGCTTGTGAACTCAAGTATTTCCTATCAACAACTATGCCCCAAGGTAGTTACATAAAGCAGTAAATAGAAAGTGACACAGTGGTGGTAGTAGCGGCATATCCTGACAGTGTGGCAAAGAGTAGCCAAAAGCTCTGTAATTAGCTTTTTGCTGTGTGAGAGGATGGAATGCTCATAACACCGTCCCACAAGTTGAGGGGAGGCTTGGTGCGAAGAAGATGGAGGTTTGAAGCCGACAATGATTTAGTGAAAATGTCAGCAAGCTGGTCTGTGGTGGAAATATGATGAATTGCGATATGTTTAGCTTGAATGCAATCTCAGATAAAGTGATGATCGATGTTCTTCGTACGAGCATGAAAGATTGAATTACAAGCAATGGACATTGCGGAGACATTGTCACAGTAAATTGGAGTAGAGTCTAAATGTATGCAAAAATCTTGACATAATCATCTGATCCAGATAAGGTCAATTGCAGCGGCAGCAAAGGAATGGTATTCAGCCTTTATCGATGAGCGATTGATGGTAGATTGCTTCTTGACGGACCAAGTAACCAGAGCAGTACCAAGTAGGATACAATATCCGGTATTAGACTTCCTATCTTGAGTGTTACTGGCCCGGTCAGAGTCAGAGTCAGAGAAAGCGGATAAACTCATATTTGCCTTAGTGGTTGATGCATATGTTGGCATAAGCGATTAATATCAAATGTTATATTAGGTAGGGTTGTGGTAAGGTACTGTAGAGAACTAGCTAACTGACAGAATAAAGCGGGTTGACTGAATAGAAGTTGCAAAGCAGGATCGCTTGGCCATTTGAAGGGTAAGGGAGTAGATAGTGGCTTGCAGGACAGCATAGCTGCAGTCTTTAAGAGGTCCTGAGTGGAGGCTTGTTCAGACAAATGATACTCATCAGCAGTGCGAATATTGTCGATTCCAAGGAATTGAGAAAGCAGATCAAGGTTGTGGATCTAGAATTTGAGTTGCAAGTTCTAGATGGAGTGGAAATGAACTTGTAATCATTACTAGTTACAAGTAGATCATCCATCCACATAGATCAAGAAATAAATAGTGGTGGTAGTGTTATGGAAGATGAGAGGGGAAGTATCAGCTGAACTTGTATGGAAGCCTTGGGTAATGAGATATAAAGATAAGGTGGCAAACCACTGTCGAGAAGTCTGTTTCAGGCCATAAATGGCTTTATGAAGCTTGCAAACATAATGTGGATGGTTGGTGTCATGAAATCCAGGAGGTTGGAACAAGTAAATGGTCTCAGTGAG